AATCCTTGCGCTTCCGGCTTAGTAAGATCGACGTAGCATACCCCGTTCCGTTCTAACGTGCTTCGGCGTTTTCTGGACGATTTATCGATCAGGTAGCAAATATGTTTACTTGTCTCATTCAGTACTACGTGCCCCAAGATCGATCTTCGATCAATCAGTAATTTCTCCCGAATACTTCTGTCTGATCGACACTCTAGTTTTCAATTGGCCTTTCGATTATCGCACGATGAATTTGCAACTGGAAGATCATACCGACGTCGATATTGAAATTACCAATATTGATCGAGAAAAAAAAAGAAAAACAGTGTCATACCGCGTTACCTGAAACGCGTGACTTAACGCGACCCACCAGTATGGCCATCCCATAACAACGAGACTGTTACGAATATTCGTAATTCATTCACTGGTGATCGTTATACCACAATAAGGTACAACAAGTAGCGTGACCCACACGGATGGGCATCCCAGACAGTAATGAAATCCTTCTAGGCTTCTTGATCCCACCTGTGATGGTGGTCATCGTGTAATCGTGAAAATTTTGTTAGGTGGTCCGAGGCCCACCACGTGGCCCTGTCTGGTACCGAATAAAAACTTCGTGTGACTTTATTTATTCAATAAACTCCCGTATATATCACCTCTTCGGTCGCTGGCTGACGAAGAATCGAGGAGCTCACCGACACAACGGATACAAAAAACATCTCTCACGCTAACAACACACTCTAATGGCAGTATTCACGGAAATACCGGATAAAATTACACCCTACAAATGTATTTACAAATCCAACGTGACGTTAAGGCCTCGCACCTTTGGACGCGTTAGAACTACGATTCTCCAGCTATGAACATGCCTAGGGACCTCGAAGAATCCGAGATATAGGTACGTGTGTCAAACGGTCGTCCCGTTCACCTTACGTTAACTCTCACGTTCTACATACAGTAAGAGTCAAAAGTGAGTATACTCTTTGAAAGTTTGGGATATTTATTTTTTTGAATTTAGAACCTAACATTTCGCATAGGTGCTCTATTACATTGAGATCTGTTGATTGTGGCGGAGGACGTAATCGATGGAAAGTGTTATTCAGCAAACAATTTTTAACCAATTTTGCTGTGTATTTTGTGTCACGATCTCACTAAAAGACACATGATACACTTCCAGCTAAATTTGATTTTAAAATATTTATACATCCAAAGAACCCCGCACTAATTACATGGGAAATTTTAATCCTGGTTAATCTCGTTAATTCTCACATATATTGTAACTTATAACCTGGTGAATAAAAAATGTAATAGACAAAAACGTCTGTGACGGATAGTTATTGAGATACAGCTAATCAAACGGCAAATAGAAAAGTTACCTTAGGCTTGCGCTACGCCTCACTTCGACTTTGACCAGCGGTATCTCTCCGCTTTACCACGTCACTAATAGTTCCCCCTCCACCGCAACGTCGAATTTTTCGATTATACAAAAAAAAAATATCGAATATACAACGTTATATCAACGTTCTGTACGATTCGTAGCAATTGCACTGCACTAGTATGTGATTTTACCGAGGAGAGAATCTTTTTCAATGTATGTATACAGACGAGGCGATACGATTTCTAGAATTGCACCCTATCTTTTACTTATCCGCCTCTAGAAAAACCAAGGAATAAATAGAGTTGTGTCCTGCTGATGCGAGACAGCGCGAGCATACCGTAACTTTTCTATTCGCCGTTTGATTATCTGTATCTCAATAACTATCCATCACAGACGTTTTTGCCTATTACATTTTTTGTTCACCAGGTAATAAGCTGCAACATATGTGAGAATGAACGAAATTAACCAGGATTAAATTTCCGATGTAATTAGTGCGGGATTCTTTGTCCATAGTACAATGAATGAAAACCAACTGTCCTACCCCAGAGGTTGCCATACTACCCCAAAACATAATAGTATATGTATCACGTTTAACGATATTTATAAAAGTTTATGGTTATAGCTTCGATTTTCTTTTTCTCGAAATTTTTGGCTGCCTATTCATCTCGAAAATGTTGAGAAAATCATATCCAACCGAATTAATGCCATGATCTTACAATAATAGGATGCTACAGAAGTATTAGAACGAACTTCACCTTTGTAAGGTGTATACTTTTTTTTGACTGTCACTGTATATTTCGACTCGCGGATTCTCCGACGCGTTAATATCAGTCCGCTTGCATAAGGCGCAACTAACGATCACTAAACTGCGACAGTAGGATGTTTATACACGGCGCGTGATTGGACGACGAACAACCGATCGAACCGAAAGAAAGAAACAATGACAACCCACAGTAACATTAACCACGTACTACGGCATTGAACAACGACGTCAACGGTTGTTCAATCAGCTACATCTATCAGCTTTAGAATTCGTATGCTTTACTTGTTCTTACCATACTATTGGTTATTATTATTGTAATGTCTCGCGTGTTTCCGATTTGTTTATATTTCTTTTCTTTCTTTTTCTCTTTCTTTTCGTTACAAAATACAATATTCTCACCGAGACTAATGTGATCCGTAACGAAACTTCACTCAATGTGAATGATCCATGTAATCACTTGAATGTAATTCATTTTGACAGCCAGCCGTAAGTGGGTCATGCTGACCAGAAAAGCTTGCTTGCTGATTATTGTAGAATGGTTGCCGGTAGGTCGTACTCAAATAATTAATAAAAGGCATTGCGGGGAGCACGACCCACCGGTGAACATCATAGAATAATTCATGGGAAAACCTTTTGGACAGCGGTAACCGACCGCAAGCGACCGATGAGGGCCACTAAACATCATAAGAACAGAGTGACTCACCTGTGGTCATCTTATAATAAAATAGCACAAAGTTTTGCACGAATATATCTCACTTATCACGATCAATCTAGAATGCGTGATTGTTGTGACCCACTGTTTGTCATTCTGCAATCATTAATGAATCTATCACTCAGGATCAATTACATACTTCGGGGGAATTATAACTCGGTGATGTCTTGATGTAAGTACTAGGCTTACCAATAAATCATCCACTATTTCTTAACGAAGTCAGTATTCGTTTCTGTGGAATCAAGGATCTATACCGTTTCGCTTATATTCATAATTATTTTTCAACATGCTGCAACAATATTATTTAAAATGTATCGGTTTGTAATTGGAAGAAATAGTGGACTATTTATCGGTAGACCTGATAAATAAATAAACTACATGGTCAAATTGAGCAACTTAATACCATTCTAAAAGTTTTAACTAAAATCTCAAAATCGTGGTACACTAGCAGCGTCGATTGTCTTAATAAAACCATGCACGTAGAGTTTTAACTTAAAAAGTATGTTTACATAGCATGATCCACAGGTGGACTCAATAAATCGATTAATTGTTTTTCGTAAAGAACAGAAATTAATTAAATGTAAATCCTGAAAAACGTTGGTAACGCTACTTCGACAGTTGATTAAGTAATATAAGTAAATGGGAAAATGAATAATTTGTCTACACAGTTGATATTGAAACTATGCAAAATATATGTATACATAAATCACTAATTGTATAACAGTAACGTTAGCAAAGTGAAATAAGTTTATCTTGGGATCAAGATATTCAAATTCAGAGTTATTTAACAGTTTCTTACAAAACAATGGAAAAATCTCGAGCGATATTTCGTTACATACATACGCGACCCCATGATTTCTCTTCCTTAAAGATACATTCGTACAAACGAATACGTACATACGTCTCTAAATGTTTAAAGCTAATCGATTATACATTAAGTTACACACTAAATTCGTGTCCTACAACGAGCTACCTACAATCGTGATGCCTAAGAATAATTTCTCTTAACGTGTCGGGTAAACGTTATATATAAAACACGCGACCTTACGACAGTTTATTCGTCAATGTTCGTAACCCTTGGTCGATCGATCGATCTCACGAATAACTTAACGCTTTTATATTACTTCAATCTCTGACGTGAGTCAAGGGTTTAACTAAATTTATTATTACCTTTAATTAGCTTGTTGCTTTAAACCCGATTAAGTAGTGGCAGCTTCATATTACGATTTACTTGAGCAGACTATATAGGTATAAGTTCCTTCAAAATGGTGTCGATCGCTTCTCTCCAGAACGACACTCGAATTCAGCCAGGAATTAATGACCCTCAGGTCATTCGTTTTGAATCGATGGTGATGGAATGAAGGGAGATATCGAGGAATCTTTTTACTTTTCGAAAAGTATTTTTGGAACGAATTTTCTTAACGTTTGCGAATAATTTGAATGTTCGTAAATGACGAATAATATTTTCCTTGAACTGTATTGTACTCACATAAATTCTTCTTCGAGTAACTATTTTTTAATTAATTCTCATTAATTGTATTGAATAAGTAGAAATTGGAAATAAAGAATTAATTTCCCTTGAAACAAAGTATGTAATCATTAAGGAAAGTCTGTGCTTTTTTTCAATTCCATTAACACTTTCCTTAATCAATAGTAATTAAGTATTAATTACAACGTAGTAATTTTGACCTCAAATAAATTATTAATTATAACCTAATTTTGATTAAAAGCAATTATGTACCGTAAAAGTTCATTTATGTAATATCATAATTGTTGTAAATTATATTTTACAAACTTTATACAGTAATATTGTATTTTCACTGTACTATTAAGTAATTCTCTGTCTTTTCATTATTATTTACTACCTTAAGGTTATTCCGGATCAAGAGAAATTTCACACCAAACATTCTTACAATTTTTACGGTCGTAGCTAAAACTTTATATGCTCAACTGTAAAAGAAAAACAGTTTTACCAATGTTTTCTCGAATCTTCCTTCATTTCGTTCAGTTTCATTTCCTGTACTTGATGTACGTCGTATTCTTAAACGTCGTTTTAGAAAATGGAGCCCTTTTACCGTAATTTCGTTATTGAACGTCGCTGGAAGTCGGAAGTTCCTAAGACTAGGATGGTTTTCCGAGTTGATAGCGCGTTACTTCCGGTTCTTGGTCCTTAGGTTTTGTCTACGGTGCAGGGCTCAGGCATGGACTATTGCGGCGGACAGTTAACTACCGTAGTGGTTGCGAAATCGCTGAATTTTTTATCAATTGGCACCCTGTCGTCGTAGAGAGTCGGAGCTTGTAGGATGATCCCAGCTGTACCAACGAGGACCGCCAGAGTGAAGATCCAGAGGAATAGTCTGTCTAAGACCATCGCCACGTACTTCCAGTCTTCTTTCACCTTTTGACGAATTATGAAGATTAATTAGAGCGTAGCTTATTACATAATAACTGTGAAATTCAATTTTTGTACAGATGGGTTATTAGTAGACTGCGGATTTTTATCCAAAATGAAATTTTAGGAAGTAATTTATTAAGAGAGGAGCAAATGCAAGAACTTCTTTTCTCTCATAAATATCTTATTGGGTTCAGAATAAACCAGAAAACCCGTTGTATCTGATGTAAGTTTTGTCCTTTATTGGATTTCGCAGAGCCCTATAGGCTATAAATACATAAAATCCGCAGTCTAGTTATTAGTAATAACTAATTAGAGAACATCTATATTCTAGAACATTCTAGAACATATTTCCTTTTAGAGCGGGAAGAATTTGAAACTAAAGTAAAACCTTGATTTTTCGTGCATCAGTTAATGTTAGATTAAACTCTATTCTTTGGACATTCTGTTATCTAAACAGATTAGTCTTTCAGTTTTATCTTATTGTCAAATTTATATGCAATCCTAGAGAAATTAATTAATTAACGTATGCCCAAAAGAAAAACGGGAAATTTAAAAATGTGTGAAGTGAACATATGTTAAGGGGCCTGAACACATTTTTTGAAAAGTGAAAAATACATCTTCTTGCATTCCTATTTCTGATTTTCTTTATATGAACTTTTATGAAAAAGTGATAATCAGGCTTTGTAATTAAGATTTCAACGTGACTACACAATCTTTGTCAGACTATAATCTAGATTAGTTTTCGAACAAGAACCCAAAAATCTTGGTGGGGTGGGGGGTAGGGGAGGGCGAAATTTTGGTCCTTACCCTACATACGTAATACTAAGGAAAACCATAAAAAATACAATAACTGGAACTAAAAATAGTATTACTGGAAAGAATGATAGAAAATCAAAGAATAAATAGAATTCGGGAATATGAAAATTATATTTCTATGTGATTAAACATGATAAAAGCTTGTAGGACTAGGAAAATAGAAGATGGACTTGTTCATTTTGACAAAATAATAAAATCATATGTATTGGATTAGAGTGATAGAAAATATAATGAAAAAAAGAAACAAACAATTTTGTAAAAGCGAATTTCAACTGTAGCTGCTTTAACACTAGGTTTACGGAACGCGTCATTTTGACGCATTTCAAACCTTCTAATCTCGAAATTCTCTATGTGGTATACCTACCTCTACGAACACACGACAATTTGATGCTATCGTAAATTGAGTAATAAAAACAATAAGTTGTTTTTTAAAGAAAATGTGCGGTTTCGTGACGCGTGTCCGTAGAGATAGGAGTATAAGAAATGTCCGCAAAACCTAGTGTTAAACTGCAACCTAATCACTAGCTTAGTCATTTATCATCTAGCAGAAGGTCGTTTTTAAACAATTATACCTCCAATTTAATTTAGATAGTAAGGTTGTTACTGAATTCAAAGGTACGGTACAATAAATAACTCAAAGTAAAACAAAGAACAAGGAATTAGGAAATCGTTTCGTTGTTCCAAATTATAGAAAATTAAATTACATTATAAAAAACTATTTCATTGTAAACAATTATTGTAGATCAAATCTTCGCGCGGAAAAATGTTCCAGATAAAATGTGACTTTAAGGAGCTCTTGTAAACAAACTTTTAATGTAGAAAATCATTGTAACATCAAATTTCACTCTAGACATTTATTTTATTGTTAATAGTTATTGTAGATCAAATTTCATAACAGAATAGTAAAACAAATGACTTAAACAATTATTGTACAATCCATTGTAGAAAAAACTTTTATGTACCTTAGTTGAGTCTTCCAGCATTTTTGTGTGCTCGGCGATGAAGCGCACACAGATGCAAGATTTGTGAATTTCTGGAGGGCAACGTGAGTGCGAGAAAACCGGAGGGCTTCGTAAAACTGGACTTTTAACTTCTTCGATTCCTGCCTCGCCGGAAACGGAAAGATCCTCGCACTCGGTGTGAAGAGGAAGCGGCGGCAACGGTGGTCCGTGAATTAAACAACTTCCGCCGAATCTTGCACCGTCAGCGAGACTGTATTTCGAACAAGACAATACAATTTTATGCGAAAAGGACAAAAATATAGCGCACTCTATGCTTTAAGAGTATAAGTTAAAGAGAAATATTTTCAGAAAATACAATTTACCTTAAACTCCAACAAAGTACATTTTATTCTATTAAAACTTGTATGAAATCTAAATTAAATCGTAAGTAATTTCTGTTTCAATTTTTCAAGATAATTTTAGTTTCAGCCTGTTTTCAGATATATTAATAATCTATCCTTATTTGTTTGGTTTGCTTATATTGGGGTACATTTTTCCGGAAAAATATGTTTTTGCTATATTCAGCTGGATTGGTTTGTAACTTAAGTGGTTAAATTAAAAAAATTCTAACTAGACGTTAAAATTCCAGACAATCGAAAATTGTTACTGTTATTCAAATCATTGCTTCAGAATAAGTGTATAAGAATTAATCCGTGCTTGTCTGAAAGAGTCGAAAATTTATTTTAAATATTAATTATTTCAGCGTTTATATTTAATTTGTTTGCATACAGGGATAAATGATCCCTGGTAAATATTGAAAATCATTATGGGGTTGCGTCCCTATTTACAATGTATGAAACATAATACACCCATACTCCAAAGAATTATTGTATTTGACAAACATTTATTCTTTTACTTTAATCAAAACTACACTATTTGAAGTATTGGTGTATGATTAACAATTGAAGTTTAGCAATAATTCCGAAGGTTAACACGAATAGAATTCATTAATTTATACACTATACCTTGAAGGTGAAAGGTCTTCCTTTGAAGGAGGACGACTATGGAATCGCTTAGGTGTTAAATGTTCTTCGCTGTCTTCCTGAGTGGATGAATAAGGGTAATAACAAGTCTTTTCTTTGCCTCTGACTGTTCTCATTAACACTCTACCAGAAGTGTATCTGTAAACATAGGGTAAATTTGTACGATAAAATTCAATGATTTGTAAGTCGATAGGTTTCAAAGAACACTACTGCTTCAGTAACTGCAACCGTACTTATTGTGATGTAAAGAACACGAAAAGGTACATTCTAGTTGGCAAAGAGTCAAGCTACAATAGTATGCACCGATTGTAACAAGAATTAATATCGATTGTAAATTCGACTTATAACACTAATATATTGTAATTCTGAAAAGAATGCAAAATAATACATTATAACATAAACGATATATGTACACAGTAGGTATTGTGGTATAATATTTACTACCGATAATATATGAACTGCATGTAATATATTAAAAAATATACAGCTGGATATTATTAAAGTATCAGTTGCATTATTACGAATAAATAATAATAATAGTTTCTACTACCCCTAATTTTTAATATGCTCGATATAAAGCCTGCAAGGTTTTACGCAATGTTTAATATTTTATTGTTACTGCGAATTTATATTTTCATTATCTTCGTGAAATATTTATAAATTAATATGCATTTAAATACTTATTATTAAATTACAGTAGACTCCCGCTTGACCAGCCCCTATGGGACCGAACCTCTGGTCAGGTAAACGATTGGCCGGTTAATCCGATAACATCTATCACTTATCATTTCAAAGTAGTTACTGAAAAAATATTAATATATAAGTATATCTATAATGTTTACTATATATGTGCATATACATACATTTAAAAAATGTTTACTGAATTCTATTTTTGACAAAAAAATCGGTAGTCTTTCTCTGTTTCTTTGATTTAATTTTGTTTATTAATGCAATATCCATACATTTCACATCAACAAAAATGTGACCGGTTAAGGCGGGGCTGGATAATTCGGAGTCTACTGTATAAAACGCACTATGTGATCTGTGAATTCTTTTTATATGTATAGTTGCCGAAGTCGTATATAAGGATGGATTGTTGTGAACATTTATTAACACAATAAAATATTCATCGAAGACAAGCACTTACCTATTGGTTTCAAATTTATACTGAGGCCTTCGCATAACCAACAACCGGGGAAGAATATGAATAAAGACCCTTTTCACCCAAGGCGCCATTTTATGTGTCTGCGGCGATCGGAAGTGAACATTGAGGACAACCACTGTCACGCATATACTGTAAAATAAATGCAATAATTAATTTGGTATATGGAAAAAAGACGTTATTCAAGTATACAGAATTCGTAAATTCTGACTGAATTGTCTATTTTGACTATCTTTGTTTCAGGAATTAATACGCTAATAGTTGTGTGTTATAGGTCTTCCATTAAAATTAGAACAGTAACAAAGTAATTATAGTTACAGAAATTCCTATCGTAATGTTTACGGGTACAGATCGGTATCATTGATTATCGGGGGTAATGGTGATAATTAAACTACGGAAACGACTACGGATTTTGTGCATTTATAGGATGCACGATTATCTGAAACTCAGTACTATAAGGTGTATAACAACATGAACTAGGCCAGGAAAATCTATATTTGCATAAACATCCGCAGTCTAGTGATAATTGATTATTGCTAGTTATTGTATATACATGGCTGAATATATGTATATTGTATATCTTATGATCAATCGAACCGATCTACGAGGAAACTAAGAAGATAAAGTCACTGGAAGGAACATAAATTTTTTCATTGCTTATTGCATTTTCATTAGACCATTATTAATATATTATTAATGTATGTCTAATGAAAATGAGTTAAAGCGCGATCTTGTTCGAATTATACTTAATTATTCAGAAGATGCAATTGATTCAGTGTAATTCGAATTAAATGTTAAGAATTCTCTGATGGTAGGCAGGTATAATTTTATTTTCTTCAAATAAATCTGTGTCACGAAGATAAAACAGAAAATATTAGGAATTCATATTTTTTATCATGCATTGCATTCTCTGCGTTTCGTTTGTTTCATTGGGCTGTCTACCAGTGGCTAGACCTGACAGACTGGTCCCTCGGGTAAGGGGATTTTTTGGAAATGGAGATATCCAGTTTTACAATAGAAGGCTCAGAAGTTTTATGAACAGAGATGAATTACTGTATATTGATAAAGACTAAAACAGAAATTGTATTTCAAACTGTCATGCTTCATAAAAATTTTTCAATGCGAAGTCACGAAATTATTCTTCATATAATTATGACTTCGCTTCAACATCTTTCAGTATCTTTCTGTTATTAGTAACATAATTATATAAAACAATCGGGATTTCATGTACTTTTTAGTGGTATTCTTATAGTTACGTCATTTTAAAAAATTTTATTAGCATTATTACAAGTCTTATTAGAATCTCATTTTACTATCAATCGAACAAAAAACGTTTCGTTCTGTGTGTTACTAATTATAAGAACAATTCTGCGTGTTTTGGAAGATACTATCAGATGGCTCATTCAGGGTATTATAATCTGAATGTAAAATTATCACACACGGTGAGACAATTATAAACTTGTATTCAATATAATAATAATTATTTTGAAAAGTACGAATCAAACGTATGTGAACTAAAAAATGAAATGTTCATTGAAACATCGTTGTCGTTCCATTCATTCTACAATTCTCCAATATCGGAAAGGGCTATCATGTGTCAAAGGGGCAATTTGCCATAACACATAACCAGGAATGGCTGTGGTGGAACGACAGAATGTAAATCTCGTGAGGCTATTTATAATGGAGATCCATTCTGGGATGGCCTGGTCTTAGCAGCCAGTGCTAAGCGACAGGCTGCGATTTAAATTGAGCTGGGTACCTTTGACTTCACTTGGAACCATTTATTGGCTTGAAAACTCCCCTTTCCACGTTCACCTTGAAATGTCGACGCCTTCCTCCTCCCCTTTTATGTTTGTCCTTTATCTTACTCCAGGAAATTGGATTAATTGATTCCGGTTCAATGGAAGTCTTTATGTTTCGCAGACACCAAATTGTCGTCTTACAAAGTTAGAACTGATCATACTTAAGTTTCGCTAAGAGAATGGCGGAGAATATTTAATGTTAATGACTTAATTGAAATTTTTAATATTAAATTAAAATGTAACTAACAATGGACTTTAAATTTGGTGTCCAGTTGATAGTGCTAAATTCAAAATTAAGTTCAGATAGGTATTCACATTCAGAAGATTGTCTTCGGCAACATGATCCGCTGTTGATTGATTACATCACACAAATTTAACGGTACACTATGATCCTCCAATTAACCCTTAAGGACACAGACCGTGACTACCCCATTCTTATATTTGCATTTTTAAAGGGCAGTAGCAGGCTTTTTCTTAATCTTTTGATCTTAGTAATTTTTTATTTTGAACGATACATAATTCGGATGAAAGAAAAACATTTTTCGGGCAAAGAAAGATATACAGAAATAGATTTCTCCGTACCGGTGGCGCGAAGAATATGCCACCCGTGTCCTTGAAAATTAAGCAAATGGATTGTTGTTCATATGATCCAGTGGTAGTCATGTTATCGTTATGAATAACAGTATTTCTCCACTGTTCTCCACTCTTTATGGTCAGTGTGTAAATCAGAAAATAGAACCATAGAATACAGACTCCTCTCTATTATCGTCCCGAACTCAGGTCCGCGTCAGGACAATAATATTATAAGGAGAAATATTTCAGACCCCCGTAAATTTGTGTTTTGCCCGAAGCCTGAGCCACGGAAACAATTATGGTGGTGGGGATAACGCTTGGACAATAATCGTGTAGAACAAGTCAGACGATAATCGAGAGGAGTCTGTATCGCTGTGACAAATTGCGTACAACTACTACTTTCTATAAATGAAATTTTATGGTCCAACATGTTGATCAGATTGGAAATATCGAAATCCTGAAACTGTACATGACACGGAAGACCTGAGAAGACATACCACTGTTACTCACAATGGCGAATATTTTTGAATGCATCCGGAGTGAAATTGCAATCTTGCACTTTAAGTAATGACAGAACGCGAAGGCAAAGCTACAAAGGAGAAAAACAGGAATCGCGAAAAGAGGCGTGGGGCGTGATAGCATCGCAACGAGGAATATATTCACGGTGGTGATACTAAGCCCTTCAATATATTCGAAGAACGGAAAGATGCGGTAGGTGTGACACATTAATCAGTAGCAGCATCGACCGGGACTGGTCTCCACCCAAGACGTAGACCAACCAAGGAACCGACCCCTTTTCTCCGGTGAATTTCAAGGGGATGGTTGGATGCCCTTCTGTATTAAACCACACCGTTATTGCTTTTTCGAAGAAACGCAGAGGCATTGTGCCGCTATTAAAACCGAGGAACGACCATTCCCTTCTTACCGAGCATTTCTTGTGAATTATCAAGCCGCCAGTAACTTAAGACCTTAAAGAAGTATGTAACTGTTAAGTATGAGTAACTGCTACTGCGTAATAATTGTTGTTTCGACTAAGTAAACAGTAATAAAGAACAATATCCGAAGGTATATTTGACTGGTTAATACGGTGGTGTTACGAAAGGCGAATGGTAATGAGATGTTCTTCGTGAGATCACAAAGCATCAAGATGGATAGAGTGTTGTATTATTTATTTTATAATTCAGTTGACACGATTACGTTGAATTAAAATTGTTTTAGACCTGCATTACTCGACATTGTTAAACCAAAAAGACTCTGTCGTCCAAAACCAAAAATCGTGCTGTCTAGAAAGAGTTTATTTATTACAATGTAGTGATCAATCCAAATATTTCAAAGAAAGGTCTTTCACAATAAACACTAGAAAGTAAGTAAAATCGGTGATCATTTATTGAAAATACTCAAAGTAAAATGTAAAATGGCAACGGGAGAACCTTTCTTCAATGGAAGGACAGACATCCATAAGCGGTAGCGTATTGGGTAAAAATATACAATACGCCCTCGTTTTAAAGAAATCCCAATGAAGAGAGTACTTTTTAGTATCTACGAAATAATTATAAAACTGTGATCCCCTGGTTGGTTATATAATCCATACAGGCTTGTGTCAATTTATACAAAGCTTTTATAAATGAAAGCTACAAAAATTTATTATTAGTTACAATAGGGTGGACACTAGTGATATACGTTACCTGTAACTCTTTCTTTTTCATTAAAATGACTGATTACTGTCACTATTATTCTGATGACATGGTCGGCAACAAAGTCATACTGCTACATATTACTTGTCACGTTATTCATTAATTACGACTAGACTGCGGATGTTTATGCACATAGAATTTTACGAATTAATTTCTCGAAACTTGATACAAACAAGAATGTATTAATCCCGAAAAAAATTCTAGTAGGTTCGTAGTACAAAGAAAAACTGAATAAATTTTCTGAAACTTTTTACTACACTGAATTTTAGTTGATTGGATATTCAATAATCAGTAGTCTAATAATCACATTGTTCTCCATTATGGGTCACATTTAATCAAGCTTCTAATATTATTTAATAAATTTGGAGGGGCATACACCCTAAAAAATCAAGATTCATAAGCAGATATGTATTATCCTTCCGTAGGCGAACATATTTTTTTCACAGCCCATAGGCAACCTGGGTTGATAATGCCCAAGCTTAATTTTTTTTACTGCTAGGCTTTGAAAAATCTGAAAAAAATCTGCACTGCTTATTAAAATTTTCACTACATGATACATCGTTCGTTAAATCAAATGTAAAAAACTTCTTCCAATAAAAATAAGAATTTGGAAGACAGTCGAAGGAAAATGAAATTTTACCTTGATCGTTAACGACATACATTGCCTACGGAGAATTTATTATAATAGTATCAATGTCTCAAAGTGGGTTACAATGTCCAAACTGGTTCATAATATATGTTTTAGTAATAACAATCCCTACAGTATTATAATACAGGATCATAATCCAGTACTCCATCAATGGGATCGCATCGTCCTGAACGTATTCATCATTCGCTATGACAATCGGCTCATTCTTAAATTATCTTCCAGCTTTTTCCCCCTCTTTTCTTGACCATCACCAATTTTCTTTCGTTTTCCCTCCGCGTTTTTCCAACCCATGCTCGGTTTTTCACGTACATTTCACTTTTTGCTCCGCTCTCCGGTTGCCGCGCTTTGCCCATCAAGCGTTCTTTCTTCGTGACTGATGGGCAACGATGATGAAGCGACTTGGAAATTTGTAGG